TTTCTTGATTTTTACTACGTCACTTGGGTATGAAGCATGTCTAAGTTTGTGGTCTAGTGACAGGTAACAATACTGTGTTGTCTGCGTACTTTGAACTGTTTGAGTGATGGCACTCACCCCAGTCATTGTGTATACTCCGTTTCCTACGCCTGATTTCGTCGGAAGAGGGAGTATTTAGTTGTGTTCAGTTGTGCATTTACCTGTGAACACGATATGTTTGAGGTAATATCTTTTGGTGACCTCTAGGTCAAGTTTATGTGTCTACGGTAATCTGCCAAAACGTTTATAAACAACACGGCGTCCAAATGGTGTAGATAAGTGTATTAAAAGTAAAAACAAATGAAAAATTTACTCTGCTAAGCGTAAGCCGCCATTACTGCTAATGATGACTTTGTTTGTTTGTTGTTAAGCGCAAAGCTACACAATTGGCTCTTTTCGCTGTGCTCACCACGAGTATGGAAAACTGAATGTAAGCCCTCAGACTCACCATTAAGCAAAGGTGTAAGCCCTCAGACTCACCATTAAGCCCATTGAGTGGCTTAGACATGAGTAAATCGAAACATGTAAAATCAATTTTTTATTCTTTTTTGACTTTCCACAATAAACTAATACGCACGTTTTAAATGCTGTGTTGCTTATATTTAATAACCTTGCACGTGAAGCCAGTAAGTAAACGGTTTAGTTACATATTTTTCACTTGGAATTCATTTTCTTAAGAACGCTCAAAATCGACTAATTTTTCAGAGGTTGAAGTTCACGATAACTGAATTTCAAAGAAAACAATCTGTTTTAACTCAAATACAGTATTTCAGCTTATGCATTTAGAGGAGAGACAAGTGACTTAGTTGTTTCTTCTTTTTTTTTTCAGATTTGAAGGAAATGGACAGTTCTTTTCACTATCAAAATAAATAACTAATTTGAATCTGTGTGAAAAACCTGTATATTTAAACACGTCACTGAGCAGCTGAAAGATTGCTAGAAACATCATCATATACATGGAGTAATTGTTTCAACAAAATGTTCCTAACATTAAAAACATGTTTGTGTACGAAGGTTTATTCACTTCGTACTGCAGCTAACCTTAAATTGTTATTTTATATAGTGAAACGAGCTTAATCCACTCTTGTTTATTTGGGGGATGAGACGGCTCTTCCTTTCTAACCACATTGGTTTAGTTGGCCTGGAATTTCACGCAAAGCTACACGAGGGCTATCTGCACTAGCCTTTCCCTAATTTAGCTTTGAAAGACTAGAGAGAAGGTAAGTAGTCAACATTATCCACTGTAGAGGGAAGAAAGCTAGTCAACAACACCCACCTCCAACTTTTTGGGTTACTCTTTCACCAATGAATAGTGGTATTGATCTTTACATAATAACGCCCCCACGGCTGAAATGTTCGGTGACAGGAATTCGAATACGAGACCCTCAGTTTGCGAGTCCAGCGCCTTACCACTTTGAAAACGACGTTTAAAATTTTTGGGGCAGTTCTTTGAAATGCAACGTATTAAAAGGAAGTTAAGATAATACTACTGGAACAAGTGGAACAAATATTCCTTTAAAATGAGTATGAAAAAAAAAACTGTGATAGAGTCATTGGAAATATTTAAAAACTCAAAGAAAGTTTTAAATAGATTCGGCTTCAGGGGGTTACAGAAATTTAAAAAAAATCAATAGATGGCAGCAGCATGATGATTCTTTGATCGAAGTTGTTGTATTATGTAAAAGTTTAAAATATATATAGACAGTATAATCAGTTCTTCACTGCTTTCTGGCGCTCGACTCGTATTCTGAATGTCGCAGATTCGAATCCCCGTCCCACCAAACATGATCGCCCTTTCAGCCGTTGTGGCGTTAGAATGTGACGGTCAACCCCATTATTCGTTGATGGTGATGATTAGCTGCCTTCTTTCACTGCTAAATTAGGGACTGCTAGCGCAGATCGACTTCGTGTAGCTTTGCGTGAAATTCCAAGCCAACTAAATCAACTCCTCCTGATGATGGCAGATCTGTGACACACGAAACACGAAGTTGTTAGATAAGGGCTGGTATTTTTAATAAAGATTTTTAAAGTGTTGTTTAAATAAGACATAAATACATAGTACGGTATAACCGATGTTGTTCTGATAAAACTTGAGGAAATAACGCGGAACTTGGGGACGAGAGTACAACAACAGGTTTGAGTTAATAAATATATTTGTTTTGGTTTATAGGCCTGTAGTTTTGTTACACAACTTAAAGTAAAATTAGTAGAGGTAGGGGACAAGCAAACTGAAAATATAGAGCGGTCGAACTTGGCTTTAGTTATAAATGTAGTCCACGAAACAACGAATAACATCTCTGATTAACTCGGGGCTGAATTAGCACCTAAATTAAACAGGATGTATTTGCCTGAAAATGGAATATCTGCTTCAACAACTTTAAAGAGTAAACTATACTTAATAAAAATGTTTTTATCATACTTTATGTTCCCACCAAAAACAACAACAGATGAACGAAGCCTCTTCTCAGTGTGGTTTGTTACTGACAACCGACACTCATCAAGTTCAATAAATAACTTGTGAGAAAAATATAATATAATACAGTAACTTTAACAGACGTCACACCAAGGTTTACCATCCGTCAGGTGCGATTAGAAACGTTTCCAATCGTTTACTGCATAAAATAAGCAATAAATTACTTTTCTTAACAATTGATAAACTCAAGTTTTGCAGATATAATTATAAGTATTAAACGTCGTTCGTCACTAAGTCCTCGACTCTTTCAAGTAAATAGTAAGTTCGAACCCAGCACATCTGGTTGTGACGTCATTTCGTAAATAAACTAGAACCTAACGCCGCTTGTTGCGACGTGATCATAACAAAGGTATTTAATATTAGCCAATATCTTCAAGTGGCCCTTCGACAAGCCTGTGGTCATCACTGTTAAGATAGATAATGTGAGCTATATTATAGGGCTAATATGAAAAACACGGGTATGAGTCTAACCCGGATATTTGCTCTGGTTTAGGGACTATGAACAATACACAAGGGAATACACAAACAATATTGTTTTAAGTACAGGAAAAAACATAACTAACATTCTCACGTATTAATAATTAATATTTTAAACAATGGTGTGCACGATGAACTAAACGGTCGGGTCAGAAATATCCTGTCCCAAATTTGAACAACTGACCAGAGGGAGGGCAGTACCCACCGACTAACGACATTGACTGTCACTTTTATAGCAGCCAACAGGTGAAAGTGATGGGCGTGTTCAGCGGCATCGTGGCTAGAACCCTGGATCTCTTACTTCCCCATCAACAAATGATATCATTTTGAAGACCAGTGGCTTTTATTGTAAAACCTTTACATCATTTACAGGTGAAAGTGATGGGCGTGTTCAGCGGTATCGTGGCTAGAACCCTGGATCTCTTACTTCCCCATCAACAAATGATATCATTTTGAAGACCAGTGGCTTTTATTGTAAAACCTTTACATCATTTTGATAATTCAAACCTTATGTTTGCTAGGACCGTTTTATTTTCACTGCTCGATAATTCAAACCTTATGTTTGCTAGGACCCAGCCGTTTTATTTTCACTGCTCGATAATTCAAACCTTATGTTTGCTAGGACCCAGCCGTTTTATTTTCACTGCTCGATAATTCAAACCTTATGTTTGCTAGGACCCAGCCGTTTTATTT